GCTGTCTGGGGGACGAGGTTTTCTGGAAGACAGTTGTGGAGTGGAGTGAGGGAGAGGGAATTCCTAGGGGGTATGTAGGGAGTTAAAGCACTCCTGAGGGGCTGGAGTCGAACGTGGAACTCCCTGGGTGAAATGGGGAGCCTCCACAGGCTCTGGGCAGGGCATCCTGCTCTGATTTACAGAGAAGTGAGGCAGAGGCAAATGCAATACGCATTTAAAAGAAATGCACGGGTCAACTTAACAGACTTAGGGGTTTGTGAATTAAGTTTCAAGGGGCTTAAAGTAGGACCACTTTTTAGAATTTGGGTGCCCAGGCCCCTGTTTCAGTCACTTTATAAGGGTCTCTGTGAAAATATCACCTCCCCTGGGAGGTCCTCCAGGATTGTGTTTACCTAAATCCTCCCCCCCTTCCCCTGACTTTACTTCCTTACCCTGCTAATTGGTTTTTCTCTGATGTGCCCATCACTTCTTGAAAACATATAGCATTACTTCCTATTTGCTTGGACAGAAGGTGAACTCTAAGAGGGTGAGATTTTGCTGTTTTGGTTATCACTGTAGTTCAACACCTAGGTGGCTACCTGGCAAAGAGGGGGAGCCCTTGGTACCAACTTATGGAATGAATAAGTGCATATTCTGGAAGAATAGGAGAACTTTGTTTAATTAAGCTTTGTTTAGTTTGTTCAAATTAAGGTCTAATTTAAGTAAAAATGTAACAAGATGGAGGAATAAATAAAAATAAGGTACCGGTCAAATTATAATTTTCCACCTTAGTAAGTTTAACATGTTTACTACTTAGAGTGCTCATGGTTCATCGGAATGTTTACATTGTGTTCTTCTTAGAACCATTATAGTTAGTTGTATGGTAGAAAATTTGGAAAATGGGAGAAAAAGAACTTCGAATTGTATGTGCCTAGTACCACTGCGACTAACATAATTAAAATTTTCCTCTTATGTAGTTTTGAAAGTATGCTGCATTCTTACTTGGTCTCAATACATCTAGAGATCAAATGATTACCTCTGATTTAAAACTTTATATAAAGCTCCTCCGGACTCTAAAATTATGTGATTTTATCTGGAAGCCAATAAAAAATACATAAGCTACCGAATTGCCCTTTCCTTGTAATACATTTTGGTAAATGAGGCATTCCTATGCTAGTCCCCATACACATTTGGGGTCATTTTTCTTAGACCCAAACTCTCATTTTACCTGATTGGAATTCACTGACCAGTTTGAAATTTTAACCTAAGAAAAACATAAATAATTTGGAGAATTGTCAGAGTAATAAAATCTCATTAATTCTGGGCACATCCTGCTCGAATAGTTATGAATCGCAAATTCCTATAGGTTATTTTTATACTTTCTATGAACACACGGGGCATTATCAGGCAAAATCAATAATGTAAAAAAGAACAGGAGAGAAAAATCTTACCTACCAAAGAGAACAAATTGTTTTCCACCACATTAGCGGTATCACGCACAGACAGTGTGACTACGGCATAAACAGAAGTGGGACGTCCAGGGCTGTGGGCAGGTGGATGGGCTGACATAGTAATTACCAATCAATGCGGCAGCTGGCAGAGGCCATACCTCGCTGGGGGAAATTATTCTGCTGCCGGTGACTAGCTAGAGTCATGTCTGTTAACGCAAGGAAGTGGGACACGATGCAGAATTACCAGCCAGGCAATCTGGAATGATTGCTTTAAATCTATAAAATGTATCTTTAAAACGAACAACTTAAAAAAAAAAAAAGGTTAAAGTCTCTTCGCTACCTTTGCTGTCTATCAGGTTGGGGCAGTAACATTTTATCTGGTTTACCCACCAGAATCTCAGAGACAGTAAGAAGAATGAAATTACAGAAAGGAGAAAAATGAATGATGGGAACATGATGCGTGGAGAGGCTCAGAGGAAAGCAAGGTGGAGGCTAAAAAGGGAATTGAATTACAAGGGGGAGGTGGGGCTGGGTTCTCAGCGGACACTGACGTCAGCGAGATCATTCCGAAGGGGTCGGAGAACTTTGTACCTTTATCACCCTCGGTCAAAAGGTGATAGTGATGACGGCCCTTCTTAATTCTTGGGCCTGTTGACAGGGTCGCCTAGGGAAAGGTACGTAAAGGGTTTGAAAAAGCATAAAGGAAACCATGATGAAACTGGGATTCATCACCGCATGTCAATGACTCTTGAGAATCTAAAGATCCCAGCCACTGTTCTATCTTACATGTGTTATCACAGGTAATCCTCATCACAACAGTATCTACACTTTTACTTTATTTTATTGTTATTATTTTTTTGAGACACAGTCTAACTATGTCACCCTTGGGTAGAGTGCCATGGAGTCACAGCTCAGAGCAACCTCAAACTTTTGGGTTTAAGCAATTCTCTTGCCTCAGCTTCCTAAGTAGCTGGGACTATAGGTGGCTGCCACAACGCCCGGCTATTTTTTTGTTGTAGTTGTCATTGTTGTTTAGCAGGCTCGGGCTGGGTTTGAACTGTCTAGCCTTGGTGTATGTGGCCGGCACCCTAACCACTGAGCAATGGGCACCAAGCCAGTATCCACATTTTTAGATAAAGAAACAGCAGCACAGAGAAGTTAAGCAACTTGTCTAAAGTTATACAGTTGGTGAGCAGAGGAACTGGGAATTGAATCCAAGTAATCTGATTCCAGGGCCCATGCTCCAAACTGCTGATATAATGTCGTGTTACTTTGATGAGGTTAATGGCTACAGTGATGAGGTTAACATCCACAAAGATACAAATTGCTTGTTTGTATTAGAAAATCCCATCACAGACACAAAACTATAAACCTACTATGCGCCATAGAGTTTTAATTTTAGTACCTCTTTTCTTCATTTCCCGCCATCAATCAGTAAACATTTTTGAGAGTCCAGTCGGCATTAGACATTATCTAAGGCTTGGGAGATCTTGAAATAAGCCCCCGAGGGCCCTAGTCTCCTGCAGTTTACATGCTAATAAGGAAAGGTAGGCAACAAACAAACAAAAAAGAGCAGGCAGTGATAAGTGCAATAAAGCAAGAGGCTGTGACAAGTGACAGGGGAGGAGCAGTCTGGTCCTTTTGCCTATGCCCGTGTGTCAGCTCGGTGCCTGCCAGTAGAGAAAGAAGGGCACCTCCCTGCTCTGGGGCGGCTCCACAGGCCCCAGCCTCAGCAGCCTTCTGGGACCTTCCCTATAAAATGAAACTTTTATTCCAAAAATCCGTGACTTCTTTCATGAAGTTAAGGAGCCACTTACGTAATATTTACCTTAAGCCAGGTATTATCTGTAATGGAAATAATAATAAATGCTGTAGTACAACTGCTTTCTCTCCTTTGTCAAGTATTCCTGAAGTTTTACAGTGAGAGATGTCAAAGCTGCAGGAACAGAGGAGGGAGGAGAGAAACCATTTAACTGGATCTGATCAGGCTTTCACTGTGACAATAACATTTATTTAAGTACTTGGGTGCTTATTATGGAATATAATATCTGTAGTCAGACGGTTTCCATCTCTCCTGGGGAGTGAATATGAAGAAAGGGGCTTATTACCGTGAAGCATGGAGATTTAGGGTCGAAACAAGGGAGGGTCGGAGGATTGATCAGAAGGAAAGACACCGGGGGAAAAGCGACAAAATTATGGATCCTTTTCCCCTGGAAAGCTTAATCAATCAAAGACGTTGTTTTCTGCTCTGGCCTTCCCAGAAGCAGACGGGTGAAGTGACTCACCACAGGGCTTTCTTGGCCCCAGGAGGCTCTGATGATGACAGAACATAATCTGAATAGCACAGCCTCACACCCAGTCTCCATTATTCCTTGCCGCCAGGGCAGGGCCAGAGCTATGCCACTTTCTACTTGCGCATCAGGCTAGTAATCTGTGTTTAGAGAAAAGACTTTAAAAGCTCCACTGGAAAGCCCGTGGCAGGAATGGATGAGGTGAGATGTACCAAAGGAGTAAAGGCCAACTCACAAAACAGGGGAATCTGAAAGGCGCCAGAACCCAGAAACACAGCTGCCCTTTTGGACACAAACAAGGGTTGGAGAATACCCACAAAAACATGGTAAACTGACTGCCTGGGCAGAATGACGGGAGCACTCGGACTATCAGGATTAATCGTCAAGGTAGAATATTATGTGATTTATCCGGTCCAACAAATAACACCAGCCTGAAACCAAAGAAGAGCTGACACAGATGATGGCTATTGATGACTGTAACAAGATTGGAAACAGCACTCTCTTACTCCACTTAAAGCCCTAACAGGGAGAGTGTAGTCCTCAGAGTGGGAGAGAGAAAAGAAAGAAAAGGACAGGAGAGAGTGGAGAGAAAGCGTACTAGCAAGTTCAAACGAAGGCAGCCAAGCTCTGAGAAAAGGAGAGAGAAGAATTGTGTATGTTCCTTCTTAGTGACGGCACTCACTGTCAACCACTTGTGGGCACATTTGCAGAGCATCTGAAGCCCTGTCTCTGTGACCATGCAAAATATCTTATGTGTATAGTCATATATAGTCATATATTCTAATTTTCTCTCCTTTAAATTTAATTTCTTCTGTTATAGAGAGACAATCCCCCCGCCCCCCCAAAGAAAAGAAAAGAAAACTCAAAAAGCAACCAAACCTGTTAGGGAACTCCTACCTAGATGCTTGTGGATTTTTAACATTTGTCTGGGAGCCCTCCTGCCTGAAGGAGCCTGAGCAATTAAATCCCCTCCAGCTGTGCGTATCTGTGCACCCACAGACTGCCAGCCAGCGCCTGCATCATTCCCAGGGCTACATCATTTTTCTCAGCATCCTGTGGTTTTAATCCAGTGCTCAGAAAGAAAGAGATTTGTTTCCCTCCTTCCTACACTACTGATAGCTTTCGCACTGTCAGACACATTCTCTTTTCTCTCCAGAATTGTCTGGAGTTTTAAGAGTTCAATTTCTGATGAAGTGAAGCAGAAAACGACATGCAACTCCAAGGAACAGGCACAGGGAAGCCCAGCACGGCTCTCCGGTCTGCGGCCAGCCCTTCTCACCTTTGTCGTAGATTTCCTTCAGGACTCCCCGCTTTATCAGCTCTTCTCGGCTTTGCCTCATTGATATTTTCCTTTCCAGGGCTACATGCAAAAGGCAAACAGAGAAGCAGACGTGAGTAGTTAACAAAGCTGTTTGTTAAAGAATTCCGTGTTAATTCGCACAGCGATGTCGCGTACGGGAAGCTCCCGCAAATTATGCTTTGCTAATGTAAATGAATGAGATGAAACAGTTAATGCTTCTTGATACTATCAAAAGCCTTTTAATCAGATGTCATTTAATCTTCAAAATAATATGCAAATCATCTAGGAGGCAGGCATTTTTATTTAATTTTCTTTAGCCCTCATTTATAGTTGGGCAAAGTGCAGCACAGAAAAGCTGGTCGACGTGGCACTGAGTTAAAGCCTCCCGTCCTGGATCACTGCCTCTCGTCTCAGTCTGGCCTCCATGTCACGCTGAACGTTCCTGAGCACAGTACTTCCTCACAGCTGGGACTGGGATTTCACCGATCAACTTCACAGAGATTACGCTTCACTCAGGATTTTGTCGCTTTCCAACTATTTTGTTTTTAAACGGTATGAAAACATCCTCTGAGCAGCTCTGTGAGCTGGCCTCCCAGGGTGCCAAAGTGAGACTACATGAAGGGTGGTGGGTGACCTCCATGGGATGTCCCACTGCCTTCCTACCTTCAGCTCCCGGCTGGAGTGGCCCAGTAAGGAGGCAACAGTTCAGTTACTGAATATGCCTCCCCCGCGCCCAGCCGCTGTGCACCTGAGAGGGGCAGGCGGGGCTGGAGGAGGAAAGAGGAAGCGCTGGGCAGGCTGTGGACCAATCACAGGGAAGCAGAGCCCAGGAGGGGAGAAAGGAGGGGCTGCTCACAGGGCAGACCCATGGCTCGAAGGACAGAGATAAACCCCACCACACCTGGCTAATTTCTAAATTTTTTTATAGAGCCAGGGTCTTGCTATGTTGCCCAGGGTGGTCTCTAATTCCTGGCCTCAAGCAATCCTCCTGTCTTGGTCTCCCAAAGTGCTGGGATTATAAGCATGAACCACTGCATTCAGTTTAAAAATGATCCCTGAGTTGAGATTTGAAAGATGAATATATCTTATTTCAGCAACAGGCAGGCAGGTAGGGGCCAAGGGAAATGTTCCAGACAGAGCAGGCTGGGCAATCAATGGCTCCTGACAGAGGAATCCTGGTGCGGTGGAAGGGGAGAAAGAAAGTCAGTGTGGCTGCCGCCACCAGCACCAGGTGGAGAATGTCTGTGATGAGGCTGGAGGGGCGGGAGGCTGGGCAGTGGGAAGAAATGATCAGATTTGAGCATTTGAGGGATGAGTGTTCACTTTAGTGTACAGAGTGGATTAGAAAGAGGTCAGTGACTAGGTGATCACAGATATCTAGGCAGGGGATGATGGCAGCTATGACTCAGATGCTGGCGACAGAGACAAAGGATGCCTCCAAGACATGTGCGGGTGGCAATAGGAACCCGACCAGAAGTTAAAGGGACATGCAGGAAAGAGAGGGGCCTGGCTTCCTGGCTTGCATAACAGATGGTGCTGTGAACGACTAGGGCGGGGCCTCCCTGCTGACAGCCAGCTTGGAGGGCAGATCGTGAGCTGCACATCCAAAAGAAGGTATCAAGTGTGTGCTAGGAAATGTAGCTGGATGCCTCATAAAGCCAGAACGGGAAGTGCTGTGTCAGACACATTCACACACAAGTGCTTCTCAAACTCTTCCATGGAAACGCTTGTGACCGCAAAGGAGGAATGCCCAAGGGTGTGCACTCCAAGGGTGTGACTTGAAGTCGCTAGCCCCAAGCACGCCATTTCTTTAAATGTATTGAGTTTTTCCTTTAAAAGTTGAGTCTTTCTTTAAATTTAAGGAGGATCTCACGTAATGTATCTGCTCTAATTTAAATAAGAAGCCCCATCCCCACTCCCCCCCTGTCACCAGGGTCCAAGTTAAATTAACATTCTGGAAAGAGATTTCTACGGCATTGTCTATTTCCTAGTACAGAACCCAGAGCCCATAGGGAATGCGCAGCAAAGATAATTTTGAGAAAGGTGAAAAGTTATGTTATTTAACTGAATCCTCACCACAGTGAAGTATCATATTCCCTTTATACAGATGAGGTAGCTGAGGCCCAGCAAAATGAACTTGCTCGGTATGGAGAACCCTCCAAGAACTCAGGCTAGATCCCCCATTTGATCCTGTAATCCCATTACTGGGCATCGACCAGGAAGGAAAAAAATCCTTTTACCACAGGGACACTTGCATTAGACTGTTTATTGCAGCTTGATTTACAATCGCCAAAATGTGGAAATAGCCTAAGTGCCCACCAGCCCAGGAATGGATTAACAAGCTGTGATATATGTATACCATGGAATACTATTCAGCCAGTAAGAAAGATGGAGACTTTACATCTTTTGTATTAACCTGGATGGATGTGGAACACATTATTCTCAATAAAGCATCACAAGAATGGAGAAACAAGAATCCTACGTACTCAATTCTGATATGAGGACAATTAAGGTCCCAGTACATGGTGGGGGATGGGGAGAGCTGAACAAGGGAAGGAGGGAGGGGGTGGGGGGTCAAGGTGTGTGGAACACCTTTTGGGGGCGGGGCACAATTATAAGAGGGTCTTTAACAAAAGCAACAGTGTAACCTGGTTCTGTGTACCTTCACTGAATCCTCAAAAAAAAAAAAAAAAAAAACTTGCTCAAAGTCCCACAGCAGTAAGCTGAGGAACAGAAAGAGATTTTAATGTCCCTCCTTTTTTTCTCCAGGACACCACAAGGTGGTGAAGATTGTTATAATGTATACAAAAACTGGAAGGCTCTGAAAGTGGAGAGCAATCTGATTATTATTATAAATTACTAGGGGTCAAAAGTCATGGCCAAGTGACATAATTCCACATCACTTTCAGGAACGTTCTCCTTGTAAGGTACTCTTCACTGAGACCCCCTCTCATATGTAAAAAGACAGGCACAATGCCGCCCTTCTGACCTTAACTTACACCAGCCCTTCCAAAGACAGGGCTAAGTTTCACAGGGGCCACATATAAGCTCACCACTGCTCCGGGAAGTGAGATCAAGTGGCCTGGCTGGTGCAGAAGGACAATTCAACCATGTGACTTGGTTTGTGACTGAACCACAAAACCATAAAACAAGTGAGATTCATGTGGGGGGAGAAAGAAAATGCAACGGTTTCCTTGTCACCAACCAAGGAAATGGTCCAACCCCTCCCTCGATAATTTTGGTTTGGGGTACAACAGAAAAGAAAAAGGAAGAAAAGAGAAGAAATTACGAAAAGTGAAAGAAGTCCGAAGAGGAGCGAGGCATAAGGGAAGGTGTGAGGCAGGGGTGTCAAACCCGCGGCCCCAGAGAAAATGCTGATGTTGTGAGGACTCTGTTGCTTATTGGTAGTGCCAGGTATCATGAAAGTATGTGTAGGCCTTTTTTGTTTTTTGCTAATGAGCTTTCCTTAGCACTTGTGTATTTACTCTGTGGCCCAAGACAAGTCTCGTTCATCCAATGTGTGGCAGAAAAGGAAAATGTCTGGACACCCCTGATGGGCCTTTCTGTAAGGTGGCTTGTGTGCTGTACTTGGCCTCAGGATGGCAGGAATAAAACAGGTCAGCTCAAGGAGAAATGAGGCAGAAGGTCAGCTGGTGACTTGGGAGTGGTTGGTCTTTGGGAGGCAGGGAATGAAAGTGAAAAGAAGAAAAATATCCATCCCTTACACACACGTATACACACACACAGAATGAAAATTGGTATAGGAAGACATGAGGCAAAAGCATGCAACCAGGTATTATTTTTATATAAAAGAAAAATAAAGCTAGTGAAGATTTATGCTAAAATAAGAAAATCTATTCTAAAATGCAAGGATCTCTCTATTATTATTATTTTGAGACAGAGTCTCACTTTGTTGCCCTTGGCAGAATGCCATGGCGTCACAGCTCATAGCAACCTCAAACTCTTAGCCTCAAATGAACCTCTTGCCTCAGCCTCCCGAGTAGCTGGGATTACAGGCACCTGCCACAATGCCCAGCTATTTTTAGATACGGGATCTTGCTATTACTCAGGCTGGTCTCAAACTTGTGAGCTCAGGCAAGCCCCTCGTCTTGGCCTCCCAGAGTGCTGGGATTACAGGTGTGAGCCACGCGCCTGGCCAAGTAATATTAAATTTTTAAAGCATAGGGCAGTATAAAATCTAAGTGACCACAGATGGGGATGTTATTCTGTAAACTTTGTGGTGATAAAACTGCGCTGATGGTTGTACAACACTATAAATTTGCTAAAACTATTGTGTTATTTAATTACAATGAGTTAACACGATAGTGTATGAATTATATTTCAAAGAAGTTTTTAAAAACAGGGGATTAGGGTGGAAAAGGGTGACCACTATGAACTAAAATAAAATCTTAAGCTCCCTAGTCAACTGAATGGATCCTCTCTCAGATAAGCGGACCCTACCTCCAAAGACAAGAACAACAAAAAATCTTAAAGCTGTGTTGCCAGCCATGAGAAGAGAGGTCAGACATGACTACTAATGCCCTGTTCCTTTTGAAGTTATTCTTCGATAACAGTCAGATACAAAATCATTAACAAGTCTAAGGCTATGTAAAACAAAGATTAAACCACACACACACACACACACACACACACGGGTCATTCATTTACTTAACAGACCACTGAGTCTCGATATATGTCCAGTAACTGTCCTGTGGCTTGTCTTTGATTAACCGACTGCCTCACCTTAAAACATTCCAACGTTTTAGACAAAGCTCGTTTCTTTAACCGATTACCAATCAAAGAATCTTTAAACCCACCAATAACCTATAATCAGTCCCTTGCTTTGAGATGTCCTCGTTTTCATCCAACCAATGTATACCATGCACGTATTGATTATGACTTTACATGTAATTCTTGTCACCCTGAAAGGCATAAAGCTGAACTGTAACCCACCATGATGAGACTACCTGCTCAAGGCTTCTTGGGCATGGTTCTCCGTGGTTGGCCATGGTCATATATACTCAGCTCAGAATAAACCTCTTCAAGTCATTTTACAGAGT